TTTGTATGTGATCTTATTTCTCTCTCTGGGTACTTTTAATAGTCTGTCCTTATCCTTGATCTTTGCCATTTTAATTAGTATATGTTTTGGTGTTGTCATCCTTGGGTCCTTTGTGTTTGGAGATCTGTGCATCTCCGTGACCAGATTGGGGAAGTTTTCAGCAATTACCTCCTCAAAGATACTTTCTATCTCTTTTTCTCTTCTTCTTTTGGTACCCCTATAATGCAAATATTGTTCCCTTTGGATTGGTCACACATTTCTCTCAATATTCTTTTGTTCTTAGTGATCCTTTTTTCTCTCTGTGCCTCAGCTTCTTTGTATTCCTCTTCTCTAATTTCTTTTCATTTATTGTCTCCTCCACTATTTCTCATCTTATTGTAAAACCTTCCATTTTATGTTTCATATCTGATATGGAGTTTTGTAATGTTTGTATCTCCGAACAGAATTCATTCCTGAGTTCTTGAATATTTTTCTTTACTTCTGTGAGCTTGTTAATGATTTTTATTTTGCAATCTCTTTCATGAAGATTCATGATTTTGATTTCATTTGACTCTCTTTCTCTGGTGTATTCATAATTTTGCTTTGAACCAGGTTCCTTTGATGTTTCATATTTGTATGTGGCACCCTCTAGTGTCCAGAAGTTGTAGTCTCTGCAAATGCTCAGCCACTGGAGCAATGTCGGGGGTTGCAGGGGTGTGGTGTTGGTGCTTGAGGGGAGGAAAGAGCTGTTTCCTGCTTCCTGGATGCTATGCCTGTCTCCATTGCCAGAACCAGTGGGCTGACACAGGTATAAGCCTCTGTGCTTTGCATTTGTAGCTGCTGTAGGTGGGGCTTCTCTCTGGCTGGTCTAACCCCACGGTAGGGTTTGCCAGTTTGCAAGCCAGGTGAGGCTGACTGGGTGGAAGATACAGCTGGCTGTGTATCATGAAGGGGGCCTTGGAGCTGCGTAGGCAGCCAGGGAGCTGGAGCACCTTGAGATAGTGAAAGTTCTCAACCTGCTAGGTACAGCACACCCACACAATTTTGTCTACCTGTCGTTTCCTCTGAGCAGTAAGCTCTGTGAAATCCTTGCCCCTTTAGCAGCCCTCTTGCTGTTAGGAAGTCTCTGAGATGCCCACCTTTCTTTTGTCCCCGAGCAGCCAGATATGGATCCCTGTTTTCCACAGCAGCTGAAATCTCAGTCTCTCCAGGTATTCTGCCTGTCTTAGCTTTCCAACCCCTCTAATCACAAGATTACCATGTAATGTAGGTTTGTCCTCCCATAGCAGATCTCCAGAGCTAGGTGTTCATCAGTCCCAGGACTTCACTCCCTCCCTGCTCCATTTTTCTTCCTCCCACCGGTGAGCTGGGGTGGGGGAAGGGCTTGGGTCCCGCTGGGCCACAACTTTGGTACATTACCCTGTTTCATGAGGCTTATTCTTTTCTCCAGGTGTATGCAGTCTGGTGCAGCCTTCTTTACTGTTGCTCTTTCAGGATTAGTTATATTAATTATATTTTTGTATTATATGCGGTTTTAGGAGGAAGCCTCTGTCTCACCTCTCATGCCACCGTTTTTAATCCTTTTGTGGGGTGGTTCCTTCCCCCAATGTTTTATGTTTTTGATGTCATATTTTATCTTTCTATCTTTTGTATCCCTTATCTATTATTGTAGTTATGGTTATTTTTTTTTTTAACCTTTATACTAGCTTTATAAGTGGCTGATCCACCACCATTACTTTGTATTTACCTTTACCAGTGAGATTTATATTTTCATGGCTTTTCTTGTTACTAATTAGCACCCTTTTTCTTTTCAGTGTAAGGAATTTCCTTTAACAATTCTTATAATGCCAATTTAGTGGTGATGACTCCTTTCACTTTGCTTGTCTGGAAAACTATCTATCCTTCAATTCAGACTGATAACTTTGCTGGGTACAGTATTAATGCTTGGAAGTTCTTTTGTTTCGCACTTTGAATATATCATGCCACTCCCTTCTGACCTGCAAAGTTACTACTGAGAAAGCACTGATTGTCTTATGGGGTTTCCCTTGTACATATCAAGTTGCTTTTCTCTTGTTCTTAAGATTATTTCCTTGTCTTTAATTTAAACATTTTAATTGCAATATGTCTTGGTGTGGGTGTCTGAGTTCATCTTCTTTGAAACTCTCTCAGCTTCCTGGATCTGGATGTCCCTTTCCTTCCCCAAGTTAGGGAAATTTTCTACCATTATTTCTTCAAATAAGTTTTCTGCCCCTGTTCTTTCTCCTCATGGGAGCCCCATAATGTGAATGTCAGCTGATGTTGTTTCAAAAGTTCCTTAAGGTATCTTCAGTTTTTCCCATTCTTTTTTCTTTTTTTCTGCTCTGATTGGGTGAGTTCCACTGCTCTGTCTTTGATTTCACCGGTCCTTTCTTCTACTTCATTTAGTCTGCTGTTGAAGTGCTCTAGTGTTTTTTTTTTTTTCAGTTCAGTTATTGTATTATTTAGCTCTGTGAGTTCTATTTGGTACTTCCTTATATTTTCTATCTTTTGTTTAACTTGTATGTTCATCCATTTGTGTTCTGTGAATATATTTATAACCATTACTTTGAACACTTATCAGGTAAATTACCCCTATTTCATAAAAAAGTTTTTTTTTCTTGAAGTTTTATCTTGTTTTTTCATTTTGAACATATGTCTCTGTTTCTTCATTTTACTTCCCTCTCTGTTTTGGATTCTGTGCATTAGATGAAATGACCACTTCTTCCAGTCTTGAAGGAGTGACCTCATTTAGATGAGCTTTATCATTCAACGCTGCCCTAGCTCTTGTTTTTTTCTTAAATTTTTGTGATTATTCAGTCTATTTTGTTTTTAATAACTCCCAGTAGTTGAGGGTGTGCCAAAATCAGTCAGTGTTCCAAAGGGAAGGATCTCAGCTAGCATCTAGATTAAGGCTGACTGGAAGCCAGACCCTCAGGCAGCACCTTTTAAAGTATGCAAATATATACAGTCCTGTGAGACCACAGTGTAAGCTTCACTGGCCACCAAAGCCAGGTGAGGTAGAGGTGTTTCCTGAGCAGTAGCTATAAAAATTAGGGCTTCAGATGTACACTCCATTCTGGGAGATACCAGGAAGCTGTAGTGAGGCAGGGGGATGACACAAAAATGCTGCCCACCAGCATCTATAGCCTACCTCTCAGGGTAAAACTCTAGGATAAGAAAAAGGCCTCTTTCACAGAAAAGAACGAATGTGTGTTTTATCCTGCTGTCTGTGCAGTGAGTGCCCTGGGGTGGCAGCCTGCAAAGAACTGTCTCTCAGATTGTTACAGCCCATGGAGCCCAGGAACCCAATTTCCCCTGGCGTCTAGAGCCTTGGGCAGCAGCCACAAAAACCAGGGCACTGGATGTAAAAACTGGGGCACCAGACACATGTAAAAGCTCCCTTCCAGGGGATATTGGCTCTCTGAAGCAGGGCAGAGGTAGGGCATGAAGATGGCACCTGACAGTCTCCATCTCAGTGCGTATTCCAGCAGGCATCTAGATGTGTGTGTTAAAGTAGATGTCTGAGCCTCAGGCTTATGTTTTAATATAAGCAAGTCAGTCTCTTTTATGTAAAGTCTGTGTATAGTCATCTGCCTCTGAGTGGGTCTTGAGGCTGGTGAGATTAAACTGGCAAGTCTTTTAAGGGCCATTTCTCAGTTCACTACAGCCTGTGGGTCCAATAGATAAATGCTTGGACTTTTGGGGGCTGGTCTCTTAGATACAGGTCTTAAAAACTGGGGTCACTGATTAGTATTCAAACCCTTTGTTCCTTAGGACAAGCTCTGGGTTTTGGGTTCTCTCTCAATTATGGGTCACTACACCAGGGGTGTGGTTTATGGCAAGATTGTGTCCCAGCCTCTACTACCTGCTTTGATGTGTTTTTCTTTTTCCTTGTTTGATGGTTGTGTAGGAGTTGGATAGCTGGCTTTTAGGTTTTTTCACAAGAACTGTTCCATATGTATCTGTAGACTTGGTATGTCCATGTGAGGAGGTAAATTCAGGATCTTCCTAATTACCATTTCAAACTGGAACCCGTGATTTCTTGTTTAGATGTGAGAGATTGTCCCCTGCAACTGACGCGGCTGGGAGTTTCTTATGCATTTCAAGACCCTTAGCACTTGGAACCATAGTTGACATACCGCCAGTATCCAATAAATGTCCATGGAATAGATATATGGATAATTTGTGCCTGAGTTACTAACAAAAATAATTTGAACAAAATGTATTTGAGGTTTCTGCTTACCACCACCATTTTAAATGAAGACTTTACGAGATATAATTCACATATTCAATTCACCAATTTAAAGTACACAATTCAGTGGTTTTAGTAAGTTCAGAAACTTATACAATTTAGAACTATTTAGTCTAGTTTTAGAACATTTCATCACTCCAAAATGAAATCCATACCCTTTAGCATTCATTTCCCATTTCCTCCTTCCCCCACCACAAATTTTTAAATCTAGTTTTGAAGAAGAAAACTAAGATACCCATTCTGAAGAGGGTCATGTATTAAATGAAACTTTAGATAAGTATCTTTTGAAATAAAAAAATTTACGAAGTCTTTTTGGCTTACGAACTTATAGGGAGCACAGACTATTTTCCTACATTTTTTAGCATATCTGGCCCACAGTAGATGCTCAATAAATATACATGGACTTTAATGCTTGGCCACCCAAATTGCCTACATAGGGGACTCTATGAAGAAGGTATAACATTAGTACCATATGTTAAAGAATAACTAACAGACATGAGATAAGGACTTAAGCCAGTTCATCTAACATTTATTATTCCTATACATAAGATGCATTGATTAACTTGTTCTCACAACCCCATGAAGGTGATCCTATTATTTCCATGAGGTTGATAACCCTCCCAGCTATTAAGTGGCTAGAACTAGAACTCAAAGGCAGAGTCTGCATGCAGAGCCCTTATACTCATCACCTCTTACCCTTTAATAGGGTATAAGTTCTGTAGCTCCTTCTTAAATCCCTTCTACTGCTTACCTTTCTCTCTGTCTTTTTCACAAATGAAGTTATTAATGTCTTCACACTGGAAATCGTTCCATTGCCCCGCATAAATCAGCCCAGCACAGTCTTCTCCTGGCCCGTGGCCATGACCCCAGTTGTCTGGCTGTCCAGCTTTCCAGTTTCTTTTAACAAAACAGAAATGGAGTGTTATTTGCAAGTCATGCAAAAGTCTTCTTTACCTAAGAGCAGCAGAGAAATGTAAAAAATAAAACTGGAGCATGTCGTTTGTCCTGGAATGAAAATGCCCCATTTAAAAAGCCATGCATGCTCTTATTCACAGTAAGAAGCAGCTATTTGCAGAGTGGTATGTAATGCAGCAAGCATTGCCCTGCAGGCCTGTAATCTTTGCCACAATGAAATGAACTCATTGAGCTGCTCCATCACAACGCTGAGGGAGTAAATCCACCTTTAAAGGTTACATGAATGATAACTTTCTAGTGTGTACTGGAATGTTGACCTCTGTGTGCATATATTTGCGTGTGACTGTATATGCACTCTGAGCACATTGCACACACACACACACACACACACATATGTATGCACGCACACTCACTCACTCACTCTTATGAGAACCCAGAGGATCCTTGTGCATTTTGATACTTTGTCCCTGACAAGTGAAAGCCTCTGGCAGAGAAAGCCAGAGACCATTGACAGACATTTACAAGACCTTACAATTACAAACACCTGCTTATGGTCTTCTGGGTAAATTGTAGATAGTTGACTGCTTTAAAAAGGAATGGTAATTTAATCTTACTGAAAATGGCCCATACATTTCACCACCTTTTTTGGGAGATTCTTAAAAACAAGTTTTCTTTAGGATGAGTTTACTTGGGTCTTGCTAACTTGGATACTGCAGCTCAAAACACCACATTGCCAGGGTTCACCGTTCTTGATTCTACTTCCATGCAATTAGACGTGCTTCCAAAACTCAAAACCTGAAAGCCAAAGTTTCTCTAAGAAGCAGGTTCTTGCACAGAAGCTTGTGGTTATTGCCTGAGAAGACAAGTTGCCTTCTGGGGAAGGGCTGAAAAAACGGTTGCAGCGGGAGGCGCTTCCCGTAAACAATGACTCATTAGGCCACAGTCAGCCACAGCGTGTTCTACGTTATGAGGAGAGAGCCCTCATTGCTCTCCATCTTTGACAGTTAAGACTAGGAAACCTAGAGGGCAGTGGGGAAGACAGTTGAAATTTAAAGGGTGTGGAAACAGGGTAGAATTGACCCCACCCCACCGACCAAATGTGTATTTTCAGATTTTTTGAAAATGAGAGCCACCTCATTTAAATAACTGTAATGATAAAAAGCCAATTAAAATGAAACCATCAACTGATGAGAGTGAAAATGAGATGATATTTAGGGAGAGTTAGAAATAGTCATTCATTCACACATTCACTGAACAGATATCCACAGAGCACGTACTGTGTACCAGGGATCATGCTGGGTGATGGTGACGTAGCAGTGCAGATAACAGACAGCGTTCCAGCCCTCACAGAATTTAACATCAGAGCCAAGAAGCAACTGAACTAAAATCTCAGACTGCCACAGTGATGCCAGAGAGAGATAAAGCTGGAAGAAAAAACAGGTCACTTTCATGTGTGCTTTTTGTGTATTTCTGTCCACTTTGCAGAACCCCTCCAGAAATGTCAGCAGTGCCTGGGCAATTTGACCTTGTGGATATACATTGTATTCCTTTCTGCTAGTAATGTGAGGAGCTCTGATTCCTGTTTTGCTTACAGAATTTCAGATCTGTGATTTCCAAATGTATAATGATGAGACATTTGAATCTGTTATTTCTCACTTCATTGGGGAACTGTATAAATATGACTTATGGTAGAAGAGCTGCTTAATATTTTTCCCTTGCATTTCCTTGTCATTTTAAGTCAAGCATATAAAAGATAACATTAGCAAAAGGTAACAGCTTGGTAAGAAAGGATTTAATCATTATCACCCTTCTCCATTCCTTTTCCAGGTCATGGGGATTCTACATGAGCTCAAGTGCCCGAGGGCCTCCTTTGCGGTGGGAGGAGCAGCAGCTCTATGGTGGTGGTGGTCGGGTGGAGGTGGGCCCGTCGGGTGGGCTGTGGAGTAGCCTAAAGCCCGGCTGCAGGGACAATTTGACTTGGAGACTGAGCACCCAGAGTCCCAAGCATCTCTTTGGAAAATCTAAAATCACATGGCATGATTGTGGCAAATCCCCTCAGTCGGCAATCTTGTAATAGAACAGAACACGTCAGCTCAACAGAATGTATATATTTTGGAGAATTTCATCTTAAATAGTGTTGTCATCTCATTTACAGGTAGATTCTAGGAAGAAGAATGGTTGAATCCTGGGCTGAAAATCCCTGAATCCCATATTACAACACACATTGCAGAAGTGGCTGGGTACACACATGTGTACCCGGGCTGCAGACTCTGTACACCAGGAACCTTGGAAGCACTTGGACTCACTGTTCCAGTAAGCTGGAAACATGCTAGCATATCAGCTAGTGGGTGACATCCTCTCCCCAGGATTTTGGGTTTAAGAGGCAGAGCACAAACTCTCCGTCTTGGGCATAGCCCCTTCCAACCTCACAACTTACTATTTTCACACCGACTACAAGATTGACTGAAGCTTCATGGCCAAGAAACTTCTGCTGGTAAGAGCCCGGCCACAAAATAGGAAAATCTTAGTAGTGAGAAGCGTTTCTTTGTTGTGGAATTTTCTCTTGCTACACTATTTCTTTCCTGTAGCCTAAGTGGCCTACTGTCGCTCTGACAGAAACATGAGGCATAGACCAGAGTGAGTTATTAGTGAATTAGGCGATGCTGAAGGTCCCTTTCTGGTTCCCACCACCCTTTGGTGGTATGTTCTAAAAAAACTCAACATGTAATTTTACATGCAGCAGTCTGTGTGGACAGAAGGCAGCCCATGTTTTTATCTTTGCGTTGTAAACATGAAAGCTGTTAACTCATAACCTGACAGCATACTCCCACCAAATGACATCCAAGAAGTGGACAAGAGGAATAGGGGAGCTTCAGGTGTGTTTGGGAAGCCCCCAGGAACAAAGCACATCTCTGGTGATCTAAGGTGGACAACTGCAAGCAGGATGGACAGGAAAGTTCTTAAAAGGCTACCTTGTAGTTCTGCTCTGAGAAAGTGGACAGAGTCTGCGTCCCACTCGTGTCCATTTCCCCCATGCCACTAGGCAGCCTCCATTAACAGTGACAGCCCCTGCCAAATAATGTTCTTGTATTTATTCCATCAAGAGAAGAAAGATAACCTTTGACATGCGCCTGGTTTCACCAATATTGTCTCTCATCTGTTTTCTCATTTACTGGTTTGCTTGTTTTGTTTTTTGGATTCCACATAGAAGTGAAATAATCTGGTACTCATCTTACTCTGACTTATTTCAATTAGCATAATATCCTCTAATTCTATCTATGTTCTTGCAAATGGCAATATTTCATCCTTTTTTCTGGCTGAGTAGTATTCCCTATCATGTACCACATCTTCTTTATCCACTCATCTGTTGATAGGTACTTTGGTTGCTTTCATATCTTGGATATTGTAAATCATGTGGTAATAAACAGGGGTGTATATATCTTTTCAAATAAGAGATTTTGTTTTCAACTGGTAAATTTCTAGAAGTGGAATTACTGGACTGGTAATAATACTATAGGTACTGGTACGTGGACCCAGAGCATCTGGGAACCTGTTCTGGGCCACCATCCTGAGAACTGAAGAATATTTCTTATGCCTTCCTTTTCCCTAGTAGCTGTAAGATAAGGTAAATCTGTAAATTCAATGGGTCTATTAGAAATAAACCTTAGTTTAGGTCTTATGTGCCCTCAGTCTTTGGCATCCATGCCATGTTACCATTGTTTTTTGTCTGTTTATTTCAGCTTTTTTTTTTCAACCAAGCCTCAGTATAAAAAATGGAGTGGGAGGGGGCAAGGGGCAGAGGAGAGGACCTTTTATCCCTTGTCTGTTTCCTCTTCAGCAGTAACCACAAAAGCTTGAAACAATTTCAAATGGGTTGGGAGAGTGTGTGTGTGTGTGTGTGTGTGTGTGTGTGTGTGTTGTGTTTGGGAAAAAGGGTAAGAGGAAATCTGAGAGACTTGATTCTTCTGTAGCCTGGGTAAAGCATGGGGAAGCACACAAACATTTCTAAAGAAATCATTGATGGTGGCAGGGGAAAGGGGGACAGATGGGCCAGTGCTTAGGGGTCATAGAAGCAAGGAGGAGAATAAAATTGAGCCTGAATAGATGGGAGAAATATCTGGGGAGACTTATCCTGGTGGGAGACTCCCAAAAGCCTGTAGCCCAGTCCCCATGCTCAGGCCACGGCAGGGAGCATTCTCCTTGTCATCGCCTTCTGCTGTGAGGTCTGAGTGAAATACTGTACATAATCTCACCCAGAATACTGTAAAATATGTAAATGCTAGGGGGTGATATTCTGCAGTTACTGACTAGTATGAAAATAGTTTTGACTATAAAGGTAATAGTTAATAATACCAGTACTAGCAGGTGACATTTCTTGAGCACTTCCCACAGGCCCAGCACTGTATTAAATGCTTTATATATATTAACACTTAATTGTCACAATACTAATGAAGGTCCTTCTGGAATATTCATTTCTAGATGAGGACATTAACGTTCACATGACTGAGTGACCTGCACAAGGACAAGCAGCTTTTGGGCGCTGCGCCAAGGCCTGAAACCCAGTGCTATTTCCCTCATTGCACTCGCTCTTTTTCTAGTTTGTGCAGTGTTTATTATTACAGGTCACGTTAAATTGGCCTTTAGTTATTGAGGCCTTGTGACATGTCTGCCTAATTGATTCTTGCTTTTAAAATTTGATCCTGGGGAATTTTACATGTACATGGATTCCTGTGGGTGGAAAATGAGAAGCACAGTCTGTGCTGTGGCTGGGGCGCAAAAGCCAAAGCTCTCAGGAGGCTCCAGGGTGGCTGTGGCTGGATGCAGACTTCCAGAAAGGTGTCTGGTGATGTGATCCTTCTCAGGGCCCAGGTACCCACGCTGGTGTTCTCCTCCCAAATGAAATAATTCTTGCTGAAGCCCAGGGAAGATGAGAAAAGTCACCCCTTGGGAGAGCTGGAATAGACAGTCGTGTTCCAGCTCAATCCATTCCATACGGACCAATCTGGGTTTTTCTTGGAGGAAGGCTTAAGATTGAATTTCTCAGTGAGTCTAACCCAGACCTTTTTTGCATTTGTGGCTGTGAGAAAAGTGGAAGAGACTGATGTTTTTTTTAGCTTCCTCAGCTCCTTTAAAAAAGAGATCCTGGCACTCTTGACTTCCAAAAGCACAGATTTACCTTTTTCTTGAATAATCTCAGCCTCCCACCCTCACCTCAGACCCTCCCCTGCTAGTGTTTTAGATGTCAACTCTCACAGCTGCTTTGGGTCTCCTGAAGCACAGCTGCCATGCTGGGTGCTCTCCTCAGGCTGTCAGCCAAACTCCTGAGCAACAAGGTGTGGTGTGCCTTTCTCTCCCTGAGGACAGGTACAGAGGGAGCCACAGGACATCTGTTGGGCCAGCAGGCATACAGCCACTTGCCCTGGGGGCCTTGTGAGGCTCATCTTCATAGGTGACTTAAAGTTTTCAAATGTTCTATCTTGATGCTTGGTCACTCTTTAGTAAAGAAATAGTCTTATTTTGGTTTCTGCTAATATCCTCTAATCATGCTCTTCACATGGAGGATTTAAAAAGTAGAAAGTATTCTGTGTGTATACTCACAGGCACAGGCTCACACACACAAACATTTCTAAAACTGTCTGGCCCCTCCACACCTCTGACCCATACTCCTCGACGGTGATGGCTACAGGTCTGGTCTCAATACCTGTGATCCTGTCTTAGACCTGACACATCACTTTCTCCTCTCTGTGTGTTGTGGGTGCTGGGGTCTTGAAGCCATGATGCCCCCACGCCTGCTTGGGCATCTGCACAGCCTGCCCTCTCTCCAGCAAAGCAAAGGTTATTCAGAGGTGAGTTTTGATCAGTTTTGCTCCATTGGTACAGTGTGTTGCATATTTTCACATCCATTTAAAGCAAAGCAGGAGGAGGAAGAAGTCAAATTCAAGCTTGTACAATTCAGTCATCTTGAGACCTCTGGGTTGGGTTAGCGAGGAAGCTGATGTGATACCCCCATGGTAGGAGGAGGCCCCAGGAGCCCGAGAAGGTGCTGTAAAGTTCTCCCATTCTTTGTGCCTGTATAGACCTGTGGTCATCTTGGATTCAGAGGGACTCTTCAAACATTTAGGGGGAGATCATCCCACATACAGCTTTGTTCCTGGTACACCTGAACTTCTGATGTGTAGTAGTCATAAACTTGTAGTTCATAAACGCATTCTGGCCAGCAGCCCAACCAGAGTCTGGGGCACTGACAGTGTTACCTCGAAGGGAGCTCCCCGGCCCTCATCAGAAACTCGGCTGGGCTGAGCGCTGCTCATGCCTGGGGTGGTCTGGGCATCCTTATCCTTCATAGCAGCGTATAAAGAGAATGCCTTGGCCACAAGTACCACATGGTGAGTTTTATGAGTCTCTGATATTTTATTTTATCCATAGAAATGAAAAAAATTCACAAAAAGAAAAAAGAAAAAACCTATTTTATAGCATATTGATTCTCAACCATAATTTCCCTATGTGGCCCAAAAGCCTTAGTGTGAGGAGCATCTAGGATATAAGATCATTAAGGAAGAAACAGTACAGAGTCAGGTAATAGGTGAAAAACAGAATAGAGAGTGTCTGACTGCCAACCTGGAAGGTTCTGAGCACTCACTTATACTCTGGAGATGTCCCGTCCAGCCATTTCCATTCATTTTCTTGCTCCGAGTCCGTGAGGCCGATCCAGTGGCTATCTCTCCCTACGATCTGCCTTTTTATCCATTGCTGAAAAATAAACCAATGACAGTGTGTTGCTATTGCTTGGAGCAGATGTCTGGGGGACTTTCTTCCCCCAACATTTAGAAAAAAGGACATTTTAAAAGAGGATGAGAATCAGGACATGTAAACTCCATTTGTTGTTCTCTTTTCACTGAATGTGTTTTGTTTTGTACTTTTTTGAGCCTTTGACACTTTTTCCTATTAGAAGTTTTAAGTGATACTGAAGTGATGCTGTCCCTCTTCTAAATCACCCCGTTGACTCAGTGAATTCCATCAGGCTTCCTCCTTTTCTACCACCTGTCCCTCCCATGTGGCAGTAACAGTAACAGCAATGGCATTATTGAGCTCTCCCTCTGGACCAGGTCCAACGTCCAGTGTGTTGCACGCCAGATGTCCTTAAGCCTTTACAGAAACCTACATCACCAAGATAGTAAGTGGCTGAGCTGGGTTGGGTCCAGCTCTGTATTTTCTAAAGCCCAGGCCCCTGAACACATGCTCATTGCCAGTCAGTTATTGTGGGAAACATCTGTTTTCCGGGTTGTGCCTGCCAGGGACACTTAGGGAAGGGGAAAGAGGTCACTGGAGCAGTGTGGTACCAAAAAGAGGGCACTGGCATTGTTACTACTTCAGTCTCAGCTCTGCATTTACCTGTTGCTCCATGAATAAAGCAGTTAAGCCTTTCAGGACCTCAGTTTTGTTATCTGTAAAGTGGATTAATAATACCCCTTGGTTCTAGGGTTGTTGTGAGGTTAAAAGGCGAAAAGTACATGGCCCATGGGAGGGGCCCAGTGAGCAGTCACTGTCATTATCTTACGTGGGCTGCGCTCCCAGGGCCTCCACTCCTCCTGACCCTGCTGAGACCACTTCTGGTCCCTTGCACTCCACCCCACTGGTGCTCATGCCTCTCTCTCCACAGGTGTCTGGTGCCCAGGCCTCTCTTTGGCATCGTGGTTCTTTCAGCTGCTGGGAGGAGTCACACATCTTCAGGTGTGAAAAAGCAGCATCTCCAGGGGAAGCAAGAGGACATAATTCCCATGCCATGAAACCTCCTGTCATTGCATGAAGCCAAATCTCCCTCCTGCAGCCTTCTGTGTTTATGTAACTGAATTCTTGGTATCTGTGAATCCCCAGTAAGGAAGCAACTTCCAGATGTTAGCTATCCTTAAATTACAATTTTTCCCAACTAAGTATGCTGCAAACATACCTGTTCTTCTCTTGTGTTTATGAAAACGAGATGTGAGGATTTGTCCTCACAGAAAAGTTTTGCATCCTCAAAAATTTCTTTCTCAACCGAAAAATAGTAGCATTTGTCTGTGAAGTTCTTCCAGTGAGGTGGGCAGCCTGGGAATGCAAAGGTTTAAAATATTATTTTAAAACAAAACAGAACACAGAAAGCTCTGTGCCTTTCTTTAGCTCTGCGCCAGGGGGACAGCTAGGGCCCTGCTCCCCTGGCAGGCCGGGGCAGCCCCAGCACTATGGCCGAGCCCCTGACTCCCCTTCACGGATGTTCCAGGAGCGAAGACAAGCTGGCAGGTGGACTGCAGAGCACACAGCAGCCAGACCTATGTAACCTGGACACTGTCTACGCGGGGTCTTTGCTCCTCTGCATCTGGATTAGTCTTTACAATGAGAGAAATAACAGAACCAACAACACAGGCACAGCTGCTCAACGTCAGTCTGGAATCATGTGAAACCTGTAAACAGTGGACGAGAGACCCAGAACCAGAGCTGGGCTCACCGAACAGGAACGATGGCCTGACTCATGCTGAAGGAAACCCAGTGGAATCAGGTGTGGGTCAGAGGAGAGGAAAACAGGGCTGGCGGCTCACCAAACATTGAGGGTTTTGCCAAAGGTTGAATTATCAAAGGACTAGAAGCACCACAACGCCTTCCCCAAAAGAAATACAGTCTGGGCTTCAGTAATGGAGTGTTCCATCTGCACATTACTGAGGGACACCCATCCCCAGGGGAAGGGCATAACATAAGGACAGGACATGTCGAGGGTGGCCAGCCTCGGACTTTCATGAAGGAAATGTTTGTCCCTGAGGGCCCCACTCAGCTAAACAAACAAATGTCAGAGAGTCTGACCGTGTTTAGAGAACCACATGCCTCGGTGGCGCCACCTAGAGTGTGAGAGCAGCCTGGTGCCTTCACGGCCAAGTTAAATGGGGCAACGGGGTGCATGGGGCTGCGTGCATGGGGCTGCATGCTGGGGCAGGCCTGGCTGTGAGCATGCCCACCACCCCTGTCCCCGGGATGAAGCAGCCCACACTTACCATTGGCCTCTGGTGCTGACGTTGGCTCATTCTGCAGGGCCAGGGGCATCGCTGCCCCTGATGGGCCTGGGGGACCTGGGGGGCCTTTGGGGCCTGGCATGCCTGGTACCCCAGGCAAGCCTGGTAGTCCCCGCGGTCCAGGCACCCCGGGCTCCCCCACAGTGCCTTGCAGTCCCTGGAAGCCAGGAGGGCCCTGGGGGCCAGGGAGTCCATCCTTGCCTGGCGGGCCTGGGGCGCCTGGGTCCCCACTGGGACCCTGAGGGCCGGGCTTCCCCGGGGACCCTCGGGAGCCTTTGGGGCCCTGCAAGCCTTTGGAGCCTTTGCCGCCGCGCTCTCCAGGGGGGCCTGCTGGCCCAGTAGGGCCCCTCTCTCCGGCGGGGCCAGGAGGGCCAGGCTCCCCCTTTTCTCCTTTCTGTCCTTTGTTGCCAGTGGGACCAGGGGGTCCCTGCTGTCCTCTGTCACCTTTTGGACCCCTGGGGCCAGGAGGACCTAAAACATAAAAAGATGTGAAATGGAATAAACATAAATTCCATTGTGAGTGATAGGGAGGAATTTATCTTACAAAGTCTCTAATTTAAAAAAACCTAGATGCACAAAATGTATACATTAAGGAGCACTTCTTGTTTTACCATACCATTCCTTGGTGATTTGTTTTTTACACAAAAAAATTTCTTAGTAAGCTTACCCTCCCGCTCCAAGCATTTAGAATATATCTTAAGGACACACAATTTCTTAGCACCCATTGATGTTTTAGGGCAGGGACATCGTGCTGACCCTGTAGCACGTGACTCACACCACCAACTTGTGTTCTCTTAGTCGTCTGGGGCTGTTCTGTCACCAGCGGAAAAGCAGTGCAGATTGGGACTGGGGTTCCCTCCTACTTATTTCGCTTTTTTTCATTAATCTGACGAGTATTCATTAGTGACCTGGTATATGACAAGCCCCGTGTCAGGTGTGGTGAGATGAAGGCTTGGATCGGACACGGAAGGGCCTGAGTGTTGTGAGCACTGCCCCGTTACTGCCCTCGCTCTGAAGCCCTGGCCTCTTCCTCTCTGTTGCCTCCCACCTGGCACTCCTGTCCCCTCCACGGGCACTGTGGGGACATGGCTGTCCTTAGGGCTGGTGGGGGGTCAGTATCGCTTTTTCGAGTTTGTTAGCCTAATAGTCACACAGGGAAGGTGGACTAGAGAAGGTGGACCATGTAACTGACAGGGGAGGAAAAACGGACATAATTTTTCCTCTAAAGGAGGAAAAGGGCATTTCTCCCTTGAAAAGATGGTGGTGGGGAGGAGTAGGGAGGAAGAACGAAGGAGGCAGTAGCTGCTTATCCCTTTTCACCCCATAAAGCAGCTCATTTCACCCAGGGATAAGTTCTCAGGGGTGACAGATACACCACAACCAGTATTTGTCATCTGAGTCACAGTTTTTGAGGTACTTTCACATATATACGTCACCTGACCTTCATCTGCGACATATTATTCCCACTGCACATTTGAGGACACGTAGGGCCGGAGATGCCAAGCCCTCTATTCCACGTCGGCTACCAGGACAGACGTGGTCAGGAGAATAAGACATGGATGACCTCAGTTGTGTCATGAAGGCTGGGATTGCAGTTCGCCTTGAAAGGAATGTGTCTCGGAGGACACTGTTCTCAAATATTCCATTCCCCAGAATCTAGAGCTTCTGAGATCTTACTCTTCCACAGGAGCAAGTAAAAGAGTCCCTCACTCACTCTGGCTGTGGAAGCAGAAAGCCTTTCAGGCTGGATGGGCACAGGTGCTGGGGAGACCAAGGGCAGCGGGCAGGCCTCCACCCTGCCTGCTTTATCCCCATGCCTCCCCTGTCCTTGCCCTGTGGCTGGTCAGGACAGTAGTGTGAAGCAGCCCTTCCACCTCAGGGGGACCACTCTGCCTTGCCTGGATGGGTGTCCATTGTACCCCGACACTATCCATGCCCCCAGCTCCAGTCCACCCATCTCTGCTCTCTGTCAGCAAGAACCTGGACCCTGGATTCAGCTTCCCTTATTTAAGACTACCCATAATGTCAGCCATGGATTTCCTGGCAGGACCCACCACTGAGCTGGAAGAGTTCATGTCAATGGCCGGGACTAGCTTTGGTGCGTTCCTTCTCTGGTGATCTCCATAAGTGCCAGACTAGCCGACTTAGAGATGAAGCGCCCTCTCCGGACCCCAACTTCTTGACTTCTGCCACCAGCTCTCATTGGCTCTTCCCCATCATCGGCCCTCCTGGGTCCTCGTTTCCATCGCACAGCCAGGTAGTGTATCTTCTCTGGGATGTCCTGCCGGTACCTCCAACCTGGCATGTCTACAACTGACCCGCCTTCCCTTTGCTGCATGTCCTCTGTCCATCACCCCTGTGCCGTTACACCACCCCAGCCACCTCTTCCTTCCCATTACTCACTGTGACCCTTGTGTGGGTGTTCTGTCTCTCCCTCCCTCCCTCTATCCCCTTTTAGTAGATATTGAGATATTTATAGTAACCTCTTAAAGCCTCTTCTTAGTCCTCTCCATTCAGTCCACTGCATCTTTCCCACATTTGTCTTCCTTAAGCACAACTTTGATCTCCACTTGCTCCAGAACATTCAAGCCCCTATTTGATCATCTGTGTCAAGGCTTTCATGACCTGGTCTCGCACATGTTTATTCCACTCTCGTCTGTACTTTGACATGTCTTCTTTAGAATTTCCTCTGCCCAGAGCCATCTGGAAAATTCCCATTCACCCACCATATAATCCTTCCAGGTCACTCCAGATGGAAGTTTTCCCTTCTTCTCTAATCTTTTAGTCCTTGCTTGTTCTTTCAGGATGCCTCCCCATCTAGCAGCTAGCAGCATCTGGCACAGTCATTATTCAGTGAGTGTTACCAAATCAGTGCACATCACAGGCCTTAAAAGGTCCAGCATGCTGATGCCAACACTTTGAGCCCTAGGAGAGACCAGAGGGGAGGATTTTTGGGGAATGGTGACCTGTCTGGTGTGCCTCACCTTATCCTTATCTGGTAGAGCCCCCTCAATCTATGCCTCAGCAGCCTGGCTGCCACTGTGGAAGGACCATGGTGAGACTTCTCTTTCCTGACTCTGCTCACATTTAAGCATTGTGGCCTCATCTGCAACATGAGCTTCTTTTTGGTGGAAGCACATTAAACAGCCGAGACTATGTAGTAAAGATAGGGAAGATAGATTTTTCTGCCTGATTATCTCCTTTAAAAATGTATCTTAGTGGTTGAGAACTAGCGTCCTAGAGATTAATAGTAGGGAAGGCAGTGTGTGCATTCCCCCAAAATGGATAGAGCATTATGGTGGTACAATACTGACAATAGGCTAAAACAAAACAAATGTGAACTTTTTTTGGAAAAACAAGGTTATTCTGGAATAAAAATAGAAGTATCTTTTCTTCTCAGCTATGTTTTATTTTCTGTGTTTAAGCCTTTAGAAATATAACTAATGAAGATCTGCTAGGAAATTCAAGTGCTTTTGAAATTCTTTATCCTTATTCTCCTTACAAATTGTGCAAATAATCAGTGCTTCTCAATCACTCACATCTGGAGTTGACTATACTCACAAGTTACGGGAAGTGAGTTCACCCACACTCAAGAAATAGTGACCAGTCTGGAGCTTTCCTCTCTGATCGGACAGACTGATGCTGCAGGGAGTTCTGTTTCTGCCAGAATACCTTCCTCTGCTTTCTGACAATCCCAAAGACACATAACTCTCTCGTCCTCTTCTGACATGAATCTGAGACCTCCTCTCCCTGGGATAACTTTTCAGTAGTCTCATTCCTTTCTGGGTTTGGGTGGCTTATGGTGTCCAGCTATTTCCCTCTGAACTGGAAATGTTTCCTGAATGTTCTTACTCACTCCACATAGAAGCTGTGGCTTAAGAACGGCATCAAACGTAGATGCCATGGTCAGCGCAAAATACCAGTAGATGCTAATGTCTAGATCTTGTGAAAAAAGGGAAGAGATATTGGGAGAATATGCAAAATTTTGTCTTTGATAAAAGTCTAAAATCCTACTTGTGATGTAGTCCCTAGCTGGACTGGCATAAAAACTGAATTTTTCATATGAAGTGCTACATCCATTACAAATAGGTTATCTCTCTCTTAATAAGATACAGTTGAATATTGATGGCTGTGGATAAACACCTGCAAATACACTGTTACGGATGTGTCTTCATCGACAGCTGCCCAGCCTCAGGAAAACCATCACGAGCTACAGCAGGAAGCTGGCACCCTGCCTTCAGGTGCTGGGCTGAGTGAAAATGTACCCTGTGTTTCCCATACATAAGGGGATTCATTCATATACTCTGCTCACTGAGACAGCACTTTGCTCATAAAGACCTAGACATTTGCTGTTATTTGTTTTTAAAAATGACTGAGAAAAAACCTACAAGTGTTTTAAAAGTCAGCACTGGATTCCCATAGGAAGTTCATTATCAACACCAGAGGTATAGCTTCCTCTAGGACCTGGGGTCTGAGTCGCCTGCAAGCATCTGGATGAGCCCAGCCTTTTAGGTCTTACTTAAATCTTTTATTAGGCAGCTGTTAAAGTGAAAATGAAATTAAATATAAACTTCTCTTAGTGCCTCAACACTGAAAATACTGAGATAAATGACATGGGAGTGTTTATGAGCTTGTGCAGTGACAACTTGAGTTCAGAGCCGAGAAAACGGCAGGCAGTGTTGCCTGTGGGCAGGGAGGCTTATGCGACGGCCCACGCAGAAGCAAGTTTGAGATCTGCTTTCCAGGCCGAGCAGCGGCTCCTTGGCTCAGGATTCTGAAATGCCAGCACACCCACGCTCCTGGTGGAGCCCATTGCAAGCTCCAGAAATGCCCAAGTGTGACCTAGATCAGAACTTGGAGCAAAACCTCCTCCCCGTGTGCCCATGCTCCAGAGCTGGGAGCCCTGAATGCCTGACTCCTCTGCATCAACAGGTCAAAGTGGGCAGAAGACCCAAATCACTGTGCCATGTGTGCGCCAGCAACCGAATGGCAGGCCTGCCCAAGGGCTCAGCCCTGCGTCCTGCCCCTGAGGTCTGTTTCCAATTTGTTTTCTAACAAAACAGAAAGTAGAGAAACCACCTAATTCATAGTGCCGTCCAAAATCTTAGAGACTCAATTTTAGAACCACTAGTGGTAAGGTTGGAAGACAGAGAAAAACAGTAATATAATCTGACACATTTTTCTTCTCATTTAAAAATCTCCTTTGCATGCCATTAAACACTTACTAAACACCTACAATATGAAAAAGTCATTCTGCCTCACTGAGGTGAAAGGGAACGCAACAAATTAAAGGGAAACCTAACGGGTTATCTGGCAATCGTTTCTGAAGAATAATTTGATTCTTGCCCTCATGTTTAAGACAGGCTTCTGGAAAGCCATGGTAGCGCCTGTTCACAAAGATGGTATATTTAAACCATCATTTCTCACCAACTGGCCTGTCTGCTTCTATGCCTGAGAACACCTGCTCTCAAGAATCCCTAGACAAGCAGTCTTGTGTGGGGAAGTGTATTGCCCAGGGGGTGTGTTCAGTGAGAGAAATTAAGGCCTCCGGCCTGACCCACTCTGCTTTGTCTCATCCTTTCAGCCTTCCTATGTATCTTATCTTGCAGGGTCCAGTTCAAATGTCTATCCTTTACCGAAGCCTCACTGACTGCATTCCTGAAAGTAAACTCTCCTGCATTTTAACCTCCCCCAACCCATCGTCAGTGCTCTTATGTCCTCACAGAGCAGTGATGTGGCATTTGGAAGCATAGGTGTGGGAGCCTGAGACCCGAGTGCAGAGTGCTGTCTGCATTTACTAGCTGCCTGACCTTGGACAATTATTCAGGCTCTCTGTGCCTCAGTTCCCTCCCCCACAAATGGGGGATGCTGGTAACTCCTACCTTGAAGAGAGGTAACAATGACAGCAGACAGTTTTTATCCAAGTGTGCAGCAGGTAACCAATGTGGATTACCAAATGAATGAAAGCTAGCTGTCCACAGCACTTGAGTCTGATTCCTCTCCTGTGCTGGCCGCCAGGAAGCCAGCAGTAAGTTCTTTTGGACCAAAATCAAGCTTAACCCAGCCTTGCAATTTTATTCCTTGCTCACATGAGGCTGTTGTTCTCCACTGTGAGGTACTGGCAGGTGCTACAGTGCATGGGAAATCTTGATAGAACTGAGCTCACCCTTTGGTATGAATATTAGGTAGCCCTCTGCTAGGCACTGCACTACACGCTTTATTTACATTATCTCATTAAATTCTCTGACTCTAAAAGGTAGACACAGACAAGGAAACTGAGGCAGAGAAAGGCTGAGGGGCCTAGTACTCGTATCCACATCTGTGGATCCCAGAGTTCTTGTCCAGGGAAGGGCAGGGATGACCTTGAGTCCACCTCTAAGACTCCTCCTGCATGGGGAGACCTGCTTCTCTCATCTGCACTGCTATCATCCCATTTCACGCCACCGCCTCTTGCTGGACCCCTGCCTCTGCAATTGCTTCCATGGGGCCCCCAACACCCAGAAAGACTTTTTAGAAATGTAAACCAGGTCAAGTCACCACTTGCTTAAACCTTCCCCTCACACTTAGAATGAAACCCCAACCCCCTGTGCTCACAGATCTCCCTTTCGCAGGGGCAGCAAGGGACAGGGAAGGTGTGTGTGCACTTTTAGTGATTATTGATGGTGTTGGTAGCATGGGCTTTGACCCAGACAGCCTGGGCTCAGATTCTGTTTAGGTCCTTACCATTTGTGCAGATCTGAGCAAGTTCATTACACCTTTCAGCCTGAGTTTCTTCATCTATCAATCTTGTAAGTACCTGTCTTACAGAGCTGTGGTGAGGACTCACTGAGATGGTTTGTGAAAAGCACTCAGTATACTCATACTCAATATTAACTAATAAAAATAACCAGAATAATGGAAACACTAACTAGTTTAAAGCCAGGATCTGAATCTTCAGTCATGAGCTTTTCATATCCTTCCTTAGCTGACAAGCCACACTGTCTATAAACTATGTCAGAAGTTTCCTTGTAGAAGATAAGCAAATGACTGCACTAATGGAATAAAACGACTATGAAATTTCTTTTAGGTAGGTAGAAAATATCCAGAGTACCATGTAAGACTGCCTACAGTATTATAGTCCCAAGAGAAATTTAGAAAGCTCTTATTTTATGAGGTTGCACATCTGCTGATATCTGCCCTCATTCTGAATTTAGGTTGAAAAAGAATAGAAAAAAAAATTAGGTACTGAAGAACTTTCTTATCCTTTGAAAGTCCACCCTTTATTCAGAGTATGACTCACACCTACAATATCCTTGACTTGGAATTGTCCAGTCCCTCTAGAGTTGGGATACCCACATTGTTCAGCGAAGTCATTATATTTTCAGGCAACACCAATTTTCATAAGGAACATCATATAAAACCGAAATTCCTTTAATGAATGCCCACTAGTCTTTGTTTGACCCTCTGGAACTCCTCAGATGTCATTTAGAATCTGTTCCACATTATAGCCTTTTAAATAGTTGTAGACAGCTGCGTTGTTCCCACTAAGAAATTTCTCCTAAAGGTTAAAGTTTCCAGGTCCTTTAATCCTTCCTCACAGCACACACTGTCTAGACCCCAACATCCTGGTCATATTTTCTCGAGCATGCTGGTCTGTGAACATCCCTCTTACAGGGGATCCCCAGAACACACATTCTCCTCCAGGGCCGGCTCTGCCATATGGAATGGGAGTAGGATATCACTTCCCTCGTTTTGGATATCATTGTGTGTCATCGAAGGTCACATTAGATTCCCTGGCAGACACATTTACTTGTGTATAGGCAATTAAAACCACCATGCCTTTCATGCAACTTCCTTTAGGCCTTGCTGTCCCATCAACATTTGTCTGTTTGGTCTTTTCCATCTATGAGCAGGATTTCAGATGTATTCCCTATCTCATTTTGTTGGCATCTCTTTACTATTCCAGCCTCTCCAGATCATTTTGGATTATGATTGTATCATCTATTGGGTAGTACGTACAATTTTATGTCACACAAGTATTGGATTTCCAGGTCACCCACATCCTCATGCTAGTCACTAACAAAGCTGTTGAGCAGGACCCTGCCACCTGCCCTCTGTCATCTAGATCTGTGTCCAGTTTCACAGGGGCTCAGGAGCTGCTCTTTGTACTCAGTCATTAAACCAGTGTGGCAGACACACCCTAGGGTCACCCCCAATAAATTCATGGCCTTGTGAATCCCTCCCCTTGAGTGTGGATCCTATGACTTGCTTCTAGCCAATAGAATATGGCAAAGGTGATGACATGTCTTTCCCTTGACTACGTTGCTTTATATAAGACCCTGCCTTAGCAGACTGGAATGAGAGACTTCCCTGCTGGCTTTAAAGAAGCTGCAATGTTGTGAGATGGTCACATGGCAAGGGACTGGAGGTGGTTTCCACGTGCTGAGAGTGGTCTCCAGTGGATAGTCAAAAAGAAAACAGGAACCTCAATCTTACAGTTGTGAGGAGATGAATTCTGCCATGAACCTGAGGGAGTACAGAAATGGATCTTTCCCCAGTTGAGCCTCTGATGAAACCTCAGTGCCTCAGTGAGGCTACATCCTGGTGAAAGCCTGTGCAGAGGACCCATGGGAGCTGTGCCCAGACTCCTGACCAGTAGAAACTGTGAGATAATGGACATGGTCTTGAGCCACTGAGTTTGAAGTAATTTGTTATGAAACTCAGAAAACTAATACAACCGGTAAGTCCACCTAACTGTGCTGTAATCCAGTACCTATTTCTCCAATTTTTATCAGTGCCAAATCCCTTGGGAAAATCCAGATATGCTCTTTTCTTTCTCCTAGTTTAAATAATCTAATAACTCGGTTAATATGTGGAAATAAGATTAGAATCACATGCCTTCTTCTCAGTGAATTCATTCTGATGATGGCTTCTTTTCCTGAAAACTCACAAATTATCCCTTTAATAATCTCTTCTCAGGCTTGAAAACAAATTACGCATTCTACATAGTGTGTGGAGTCCATCTTTATCTCCTTTTTGGAAACCAGGATTACTCCTCTTATAGCCAGTCTCTTGATGCTCTAAAACCTTCTCAGTTTTAAACTACCCGAGGGCAAAGACTATCTGGTCTGCTCTGTATACCCTGCAGTGCTTAGCACAGCATCTTCCACATTGTACTTTCAAGTTAAAACCTATGAAAATAGTTTATGACTGAAAAATACTACTAACATATGGTTACTGCAGATCTTCAATAGTAGACTTAATCTGAGTCAAGGACTGATTCTCAACAAGTCAAACTGTTTCTCTCCTCTTTGGTCTTACAGTTACTGTGATGACCAATATCCATCTGCCCATGACACTTAGAAATAGGGATCTTTTCATGGTAACTCTGTGACTTAAAAGAATTAATCATGCTTCCAAAGGAGCACAATCTATAATGGCATCAAAATAGCTAGGCAATCAAAATGGCATCAAAATTCATTCAAATGAATCCATCTTTCATTCAAAACATATTTAACAGAGTGCCTTTGGGCACTGTCCACACATTCTTAGTTACACCTCTTTTCAAGACAGGATGCTTAATTGCCCTCCCCCTTAAGTGTGGGTTGGACTTAGTGACTTATTTCTAAAGAACAGAATATGGTGGAAGTGACGGCAAGTGATTTCTGAGACTGGGTCAAAAAAGCCACTGCGGCTTCCTTCTTGCTCTTTCTCTTGGATCACTTGCTCTGGGGGAAGCCAGCTGCCACGGTGCGAGAACACTCAAGCAATTTCACACTGTGAGGAAACAAGGCCTCTTGCCTACAGACAGTAAGGAGTGGAGGCTTCCTGCCAAGAGCCATGGGACTGAGGCACCTTGGAAGTAGATTCTTAACCCCTGTTAAGGCTTCAGCTGACTACAACCCCGTGACAGCTACTGAACCAGAACCGCCCAGTTAAGCCACTCCTGACTTCCTGATCCACAGAAACTATGACATAATATATTTTTACTGTTTAAAGTTACCAAGTGTTAGGGTGACTTGTTCTATGATTAATACATGCAATCCAGAATTTTCACTTGCCTTGTAGGATTGTAAAGTTCTTGATGAGCTGGCCATGCTTGGAGTCTACCAGTTTCATTTCTTCCATAATCACTGATAAGTTGGCTACTTCTGTGTCTAACCTTGACCTCATCAGGTCTTGTTGCATCCTGAGAGAAACAGAATCCAAACGGATGTTGGCTAATGTGTTATTCAAGGAGGTCAGGTCATCTGTGTGTTTGGTCAGTGTATCCGTGCAAGTGGTCCTGACTTCATTCAGATTGCTGGTCAGTGTCCGCAGGTGGTGGGCTGTGTAGCTGATGTTGCTAATGATGTTCACGATGTCCGTCTCAAAGAGCTGGAAGCGTTCCTCCAGCTGACTGAACTTGATGGCTGTTCTGTTCTCCGCATCCTTATGTATGTCCTGCAGGTCTTTCAGGTTCTGCTCATTGGCCTGTGAGGCTGTGGAGATGTTGTCCATCTGACCTGCGAATGAGCTGAGCTGGCTGTTCATATCCTCCAGGGTGTCATTGTTGGCTTTGGCCAATGCAGAGTTATTGGCCGCCAGCGTCTGTAAGCTCTGCACTTTTTCCTTCAGCCAATCAGTGTCCTTCTTGGCTTGAAGGAAAACCTGCTGCAGATTTTGAAAGTCATTCTTGATTCGCTGGATGGCCTGGCTTGTGTCATCCACAGACCGCTGCAGGTTAGTGATGAGGTTCCTCTGCTGCGCCTGTGTCAGGTTCAGGTTGTTGAGGTTCATGATGACTACGTTATGAGAATACATTTGGCTCTGCAGATTGCCCTGCAGCACACTGGTGTCTTGTTGCAAATTCGTGACATAGCCATTATATGCCTGGAGGGTTTTGTTTACAGTGGTAATGAGAAAAGAGTTATTCTCCAGAGTTGCTTTCAGTTGACTCTGTCTGTCCACCAGCGCATCCCCATTAGCCTGTAACTTCTCCAGCGTATCTTTGTTCTTGCTGGTCTTTTCTGTAATCTCATGAAGTTGTTGCCGAAGATCCAGAATGTCTGATCTAAAGGTGGAAAGTTCTGAGTTGGTGCTTAGAGCTTTCTTCCCAGTTTGGTCCCCTGGAATAAGACACATTCATTACTTAGATTGGTGGTGTGGGAAAGTGGTCAGGTGAGGTTAGAGATTCGAAAAAAGACTTAACTGGTATGTGCTGTATTTCAGATATAAAATTCATGATATAAACAGATTGCTCTGCATTAGTAAAATCCATGTATTTATTAAAACTGGGTCCTGGGGAATTAGAAAGGGTGCTGAGTACTAGGATTGACTAACTGGGGTAAACAGTTTTCTCAAAGAAGGAGGGGCAATTAACTGATTCTACAGCACTGCGCAGGGTGTCAAGAAGGAAATAACCTAGTTTTTGTTAAATTCACCAAAATTCCTTTTAAAAAAAATGAAAACAAAAACCAAAGGATAGACTAGGCTGGAATCTTTATTTTTCAAAGGCACTTCTGTAATTGTTCTATGTAGTTTAAAATATTTCAAACAGGAATATACTGAGCATTTTTTAAGAGCTTTTAATAAAGGGTATTTATGATTGCCTTTGATCAGGTTGGTCTAGATTTTGTTTAGCACATAAAATCTGTGTTCTGGGGGAGGCTCAATGCTAAAATCGGCCCTTACCTTTACATTTAAAAGTCCTTAAATTAAATTATGAGGAAAGACTCAACACATAACACAAAAATGTAATGTCTTTCTCACTGAATGTGAGTTTATATTTCGTTCATGTCATTCTAAAAGGTTGTGGTCCTTTATATAAAGTAGAGTTAGAGGATTAAGCTTACTGGTTTGTCCTTATTACAGATTACCTAATTTTTTCAGGTCACTTTCCACTGCTGTGAGCTTGTCATCATAGGTTTGGCGAGATGTCTCCATGCCACCTGTAACATTGTCCATTTTCTCTACAACTAAAATTTGGAAATCAGTGCATTAGTATACACATCTGCTCGTATTTTATTTTTCAGTTTCAACAAGAGACCATTTCGTTTCATTACAGAATAAAGCAAGCAGATTGAAACAAAGAATGAAACATGAAATGAAGTAGGGGAGTAGGCCATTCTTTTAGAAAAATAAATAACTTACTTGTCACAAAACCCGGTGGTAGTTTGCTTGGTTGAGAATTCCACATTCTTAACTGTTCTTATGATTTGGTGTTGCCTTGGATATTTTTAACAAGTGTTTGGAGTGAATTTTTATGTATCCTGGAAATTCTCAGTCTGGATTATTTCCTATATTACCTTCTATAAAGGGAGACATAACACTGTGATCCTTTACAAAACTCTGTCACTCATTGTGCTCCCTGACTCGCTGGCAGGTGGTACTCGCCTATCGGGCAGGAGAGCGCGTGACAAGGAGCACCTAGCTCACGTCCACACACAAAGTCCTTGCAGAAGGGATGCAAAGGCAAGAGTGTCTGCCACGAGGTCTGCTACTGAGGCCTGAAAATCGGCTTCTCCACAGTGACAAGTGCATCTGTAGTTCACCAGCTCCCAAGAATGCCTGAGTGGGTTTCCAAACAATCACTTACCAAGATGACTTTTTTTTTTCCTAGTATTTTTTTGTCCGTAGATAGAGAAAGGTGGTGATGCCATGTTCTTACTTGTTCTCAGAAGGCAGTAATTCCCCATGGTTGGGAATACTAGTTTATCTTTCTGAAACATCTAATAAGAGTATATTTCACCAGAAGTGATTCCTGTGAGATCCATCCTCTAGCAGCTTGAGATCAAGTCTGACTACTCTTCTCTTGGTATCAACAGCTTTTTAAAAATAATGACCTTATTTTTTTAAAGCGCAAATATGCTTTTTATATTAACTTGAGCCAATGGATCCAGTTGATTTTATTCATGAAGCATTCCACCCACACTTGACGGGGTGAGAAGATTCTCCTGGCTCCTGTCGAGAAGTGGAGTTCGTTCCCAGAGTCTGACCTAACGTGAACTTGCTCTGTGACTGCTGGGCTCTCGCTCCAGCCTCCAGTCTGGCCATAGTGAAATGTACGCATTACACCAAATGCTCCGAACCTTCCCAGGGGTTCTTCTCTCCACCTAGAATGTTATTCCCTGACCTCTTGATCAAGCTAAGCTCTGCTTTCTCTTCATGACTCAGCTCATCACTTCCTGTGGGAAATCTTTGCTGAAGAGCCTCATGCAGAGTTATCCTGGCAAGCAACCCTTTCCCTAAAACTTACTTCACTGAGGCTGTTTACTCTAAGATCCTTTAAGGCAAGGAAATTTTGCATTCTTTCTTACTTCTAGCCCTTAGCTCAGTGTGTGGCACTTAGTAGGTGCTCAATACATTTGTTACGGTGTTTTTGAAAATAAATGGGTATCTGTCTGCTGGCTGCTAAGGCCTGTGAAAAATCAGCCAAGGGAGAGGTTGTGCAAACAAACACTCAAGCCAGCCAGCTCCGGGGAGTCTCAGCACCGGCAGTGAGCGTGACAGCTAGCTGAATAATTCGTTTTTTTAAAGGGACTATACAGATAGAAAGATATAGTTATAATAATCTACACCTTAGGGTTGTTTGATAGGCATGCCTACTCCTAAAATCCCTGGAAATTCTGAAGAACAAAATGGTTCATCTGCATTTCAGCAAAGTTAAACTTTTAAAAAGTAAAATATGGAATGTTTACAAGTTTAGGTTCAGTTTTGATCCTCAAATCAAAACACATGCCTCAGTCTGTCCTCAAACCACATGCAGGATCTTAAGTCCTGCCCTTTTTTCCTGGAAGCCAAAGAGACCTCTGAATGTGCTGGCAGGCAGTCATTTTCTTCCCTCTGTAATTTTTCTTCCATTTTAGTTCAAAAAACAGAACTGTTGTGGACAGATAATTCAGATTCTAGTAGAGGAAAAGGAATAAATTCATTCATTTAAAAATAAAAATTTAAAAACCTGTTAGGTTTTTCTTCAGCGCAGCAGGGAAACTATTTGCCTTGGCCACAGTGCTAATGAACCAGTTACATGCACTAGGGCGTGTGTGTTTGTGCTTAAAAATAGGACGTGGGTATAAAGCTGCAAACTTTAGGGCTGCTAAGTTGGCAGCTTCTACTGCATAAAATACTAAACTGATGGAGATCCAGAACCAACACTTGCTACAATAGCACACAGCATTTTCACTGGTTTTTACTCTTAATTGACTAGCACAAGTTCTCAATCAGGAAAAAAGTGGCAGAGCCATCCTCCCTCCCCTTAGAGACTGCCAGTCTGTAGATGGAGTCCTCAGTCTGTAGAATATTCTTGCATGAGGAAAATGAATGTGAAACATGGAAGGGTTACTAGCACTCTGTTTTTTCACAGGCTCCCCTCAAGTGAAAACAGAATTTCTCTTCAGAATGTCACTACTTCAGATTGTTATCCTGAAGAGCTGTCTCTCTTCAAGAGCCAAAGCCTAATTCTCTAGGATAATCTGACAGTAATAGGTTCTCTGTGAAAGTACTTTGGTATCATCCGCTGGCCTGGGACACTAACCTCTTTCTCCCTTGCCTTGACTTCACCCACCCTCTAAACTCCACTCCGAATCTCACCACCCCATCGTGCTAAGCCTTCCCTGATGATCTGATTCTGCACCACACCAACTGAACCTCATGTGAACGGCAACAGTAGCAGCTTCTATTTATTGAAAACCTACTCTGCAAGGTGCATGGCACCAGCACTGCAGTTCGTCCTTACAACTCCTGTTTTACAGATGAGCTAGAGGCTCAGAGATGTTCAGTAACTTGCCCAGACTCACACAGCTTGTAAATGACTCAGCAGGATACCAGGCCAGGAGATCTAACTCCAAACTCTATGATTTCTCTGTAACTCTATATTGCCTCTCATTTAGTATTTCCTTTTCCTAAATAAGGTTTCTTCCAATAAAAATTTCTTGAGGGGAAGGGATATATCTTCTTCATCCTCTCTTTATAGTCATCATCCTCAGATGTTCACTAAACATCCACCATGTTTGTGGCCTAGGGTGAGACACTGAGCACACAGCGACATTGCTTATGGCCCAAGCCCTGAGGACAGAGAACAAGAGGAGAGCACAGAGCTCCTCACCAGTGTCTGTATCAGACTCACGGAGGTGCTGAGAAGTGAACACACCCCTTCATCGGTACCTGGGTCTCCCCTGGAATGCAATAAAGACATTTCTATGTTGAAAACTATCTCAGGTCTTATTACAAAAATATAGAATATCTGGTTGTAGGGTGCCACCCTGGATTCCACCAACAGCTACACAGTGTGATTTGGTGCACATTTTGAAAGCCCACTTATCCGGCTGTCACTGCTATTTTAGCAGAGCTTAGCAGCAAGGTTCACGTTCCATCACTAGGAATACTGAGTTAAAGGAGATCCTTATTGAGGAAGATGTATATTTCCATTTCTTCTTTATCCTAACTACCTTAAGATGCTGCCTACTGAGTAGATTTTCCTGTTGATGAAATATTCTAGAGGAAACATAAACCACTGAACTTTAAGAGATGGCTTCTCCATGGAAGAAACAAAGCCCATGGCAGAAGATGCACCAAACTGTTACTGTCCAAGAAGGTACTTTCTGCCAAGAAGCTGAGGGGCTCGTGGTCACGGCCACTGTACAGACCTGTCTGGGTGACTCAGCTATTCTTTGACTTGTTCAGCAAATTCTCTAGAAGGAACTTGGGTTATATCCTAACTTATAGCTGCTTAAGTGATGTAAAGGGAGAAGTAAAGAATAGTTTTGAGAAAAACACTATAGAGTTGCCTTTGCTAACTATTATAAATAAGGAGTTTCTGTTTTATTTCCTTTCAACTTCTCCTTCATGGAAACATCTTTTGCTGGCTATTCCTGATCTTTCCTTTTTTCTAATGGGGAGGGTCCCTCTAGACTTCAAAGAGAGATGTGTGAAGGGAGAATGGGGTTTTATCTCTCTGCATCTTACAGTGTGAGGCCACTGAAGTCCTACCAGCCAGGCAGGAATCATTGCACAAGTAAAGAGAAAACACACCAGGAAAGTATCAACATTTTAGTTCACTAAGACCATGTTTAGAAACCAAACTGCATGTTGTTATTACCTTACTTTGTCAGTAGAGGCCTGAGGGATGGGGCCTTGAAGGAGGGGCAGAGAGGGGCAAGACCACCATCTTGCTTCCACTTGCACTGTTCCCATCTCTCCTCCCCTCATCCTGGTGGGATTATGCCCAGGGCACAGGCCAAGCCCACCGGCAGGAAGCTAGGTTTCCAGGTAGAGCTTCGCCTTATAGCAATCCCAAGTGTAGACTGGCTTAGAGGCACCTGGACATTGGCTGATTACACGTCAGCCCTAAACCACAATTCCAGCCATCTATACAGTCATTACTTTATTCTGTAAACTTTCTTGGGTACCTATTAAGTACCATGAGCCTAGGTGCTAGTGGGAGATAAAAACAAATAAAAGATAGTAGGCTCTTGTCCTCATGGAGCTTATCATTTGGGTAGGGAGACAGACAAGCCTACTGGCTGTGACAATATGGTGTGACAGGGACTAAGAATAAGTAAAGGAAACTCTGGGAACCATCAGGAGGGCACCTAGCTCAGCCTTCAGAGGCTTCTGGCAGGACCCGTGACTAAGTGAGCCACAGAGGGACAGGAGTCATGCAGGTGGGAAGCAGAGTAAAGGCGTTCCAGGCAAATGGACTGGCACACACAACACTGTCCAGAGCTGAGAAAGGCTTCCCAGTGTCATAAAAATGGAGGAAATATCTATACTAGAAAGAAAAAGAAAAATCCCCCTCTCTTCTGGATCTTTCTGTGTCAGGCTGAAGGCATAACTATCCTAGCCCTTCTGTTATTTTTCAATATGAAGAACACTTTATTTTTTAATAGGACTATAGTTGATATACAATATTATATTGGTTTCAGATGTACAACATGGTGACTCAGTAATTATGCACATTAGTACCTGCACATCATGGTTAAGTGTAATTAGCCTGTTAGCACACCAAGGTTTTACAATATTGCTGGTTATTTTCTCCATGCTGTACTTCATCTTAGACCTTATACTCCTGCAAAGGTAAAAATTACCATATGGAAGTATGCTCTTCCAACTTTCCTCTTTCAGTAGTGTTTATTTTCATGATATCACACAGTACTAAGCCCTAAGGGTACTTTTAAGACTGTTAATTTTAAGCTTCTCCTTTATCTGGGCTTGCTGGGAAAGGTCATGGAGAAGAGAGTAATAACTACAGGAACCCAGTAAAGGAGGAGAGCCAGTCTGAATCACCCGGGCCATAAAGAACCCTCTTTCTCTCTACTAGGTTCTCTCTCACTCTCTGTCCAGATCTCACCACAATTTAACGGCCTTTCTTAACAGTTACTCTGTTAATCCATGGTTAGATTAACTCACCACAGATGGATAAAATGACCTGGTAATTTTCCAAGTTTCCACTGCTCAAGTTCATCAGTAGACACACTACAGGATGCACATCATTTTCCATGTATTTGGCCTTAGAGATGGGACTTAAGCCTCAGCTATATCTTGTATTTTTAACATGTTCTTCCATCCTGATAGATAGAGCTGTATAAATGACAGTTATGAAGAAGCAAGGAACACAGTGGCACAGCCACCATCTACTGGGTCCAGCTACAGGACAGGAGTTCAAGTACATCGTCTTTGCTCACCCCAGTTACCTTGAGAAGTGGCATTATTATTGTCATTTTACAGATAAGAAATCAGAAATTCCTAAGAGGTTATGATTTACACCGTGTGTAAATCACAAACACAGCCACTCAGATGACTTAGCCTGAAGCTTGGCACTTGGTACATCACAATTGTGTTACAATGGCAGAATCAAGAATGAACTTAAGACTGTCTGGCTCTAAAAGCCCGTTCTCATTCCAGGACAGTTCCCTCAGGAAGCCATGGGACACTGGGAGAGAGTTAAGGGGGCTTACCCATCAAGGGACTCACTTTGTCTCTCTCTCCCCAGGTCAAGTCTACGGGCCAAGGAATAGAGAGGGGAACGTGTCCACTGCTAATCTGTCAGTTCTGAGGGAAGGCAGCTGAGACGGCTGCTGAGTGAAGGTTTTGAAGGTCAGCAGACCTCACGTCTGCCTCTGGCTAAAACCAGATGAATGTTTGTCTCACCTGTCTGTGATGGGAAGGCTTTCATAGCTATTTCCTATAAAAGAGTTTATGTGGCTCATGATTCTGAATCATGACACCTTCTACCTGTGGTGTCTGGAATGGGGGTGAGGGGAGGGGGGAACCCACTCTGTCTGGAATCCTGGATTATTCAGGTAAAAAAATCCTCCACTGACCTTAAACCAGACATGCTGAAAGAACACTTAACGTCCCATGAAACGTAGTTGAAGTGGCAGTGTTGCCTCTGTTTAATTTTTACACAGGGCAATATTTTTGTGGAGCTGTATAAACAACAGTGGCCACATAACTGTGCTAAAGAGAAAAAAGGGAATCAGGTGGCCAGTCCCTGGGGGAAGTAAGGCATATCTTGGAGATCGTGGGTTTGGCTTACGCTCTGTCAGTATAGTTTTCCTATGTGCTGACTCGAGGGTTTCCATAGGGTCTCTCAGAGACATGACAAAAAAAGGTCAAGGAAGGGGAAATAGCTGGAAATAGGAAAAACCAACAAAGAGGAAAAGTCTTTATAACTCATAGAGGACCATTCCTATTGCTGAAGACCATTATCATTACTGAAATGAGGCAGAAGGAATTGCTATTTTCGATCCCATAGGTAGAAGACACTCAAGCCACAATGATGGCACTTAGGATGTTGCCTAATTTTGCATCTGAGTTGTATCAATGAAATACTTTGTGCTGCAAGCATGGGTTTTTTCCATGCTTAAAATAATACAGGGAAAGGTGGTGGTTGAAAGGAAAAAGAAAAGAGTACTTACCTTTGTATCCCAAAATGGCTACTGTGATTGTTAGCAAGGCACACAAAATGTATAATAATATGATAGAAAACTTCAGTGCCCAGTTATTTTTACATTTGGTACATTGTGTTCCTTCCTGAATACCTGTAGGAGAAGTCAAATTTTAATAACAGTAACCAAAAACATCATTTCAAGACTATCTTTTTGCATTTTGGTTCAAATACCATGACTAAGAATAGGTTTTACACAAGCCTTATTATAGGATGAGTGGTATTTTTAAATTAAACATATTTATACACACACATCCTTTAAATATTACCACTAACCTTGTTGTACTTTAATATGTTGTTGTATCTAATATGACCTGAAAAAAGAACATAACTTTGTCTCCTAGAAAAATTTCAAATCAAATTCCGTTATAATTATGATTCTAATTTCAATAAAAAACTCTATCTGACAAAAGATTTAAAACACTCAAATCTACTTGTTTCAGTCATTATTGGACCTATATAGTAACCCAAACACAACCAACCCCCCCACAAATTGTGACTTGTCCCTTAATACTTGTCTCAGTAGTGAGCTCCAGCTAGCTCCTACTTGCTTGCAAGATTGTTCAGTTTGTAGGAATTTTGGGAGCTGATTGTTAAATAGTTGGTAGCTGGAAATCAGCCCTGGAGGGAGAATTTACACCATGGAAATCGGCAAACCTCTTCACCCTCCAAAAAAGGTTTATCAGCATGTCACTGCCTATAATGCACTATAACCTATAGCAGAAAATATAGGTAATCTTATGATTAAATTTCTCAATATATAACCATTTTTGTACATCACATGTATACAGAAAACAGACACTAGCTTTTATTTAAGTTATCACAGTGACCTGAATAACAACTAGAAAAACCAGACATTTTTGTTGAGAGGATATAAATCTTTACTGCTCACACTGCAACTTTTTGAAAAACATTCTAGTGTTAAGTGGTAAACCACCACCACTTCTGCAAGTGGCTCCAGAAACTAACCCATAAAAAAGGGAACTTTCCATCAGATTGATGAGAAGCACAGAAGACACAACCTGGACATGTTACTGTGAAAATCATGTTGTAAGGAGTACTGGGAGATTCTGCTTTTCAGTGTGTGTCTAATAATGTCCCGCAGGAGCAGGGCACATAAAGGACTGATCTCTGATAATTATGCTCAATAACTTTTGATGGGTAAGTCGTGAAGATTAAACCACAGCCAAATTTCTCTTCTTCGGTTTGTAATTTTATGCATTGTGCCCTTCTGTAGTGAAGACTTCTTCAGCTGTGTTTAATTAAAAATGATGAGAGAAACAGCATCAAACAGACTTACATTCAACTTTCAGGGTTCAACCAATCCCTCTGGTGTTCTGGGCTACAGACCTGAGGTGAGGGGGTTCAATCTGTTCCATGACTTAGAATAGTGAATCTCAAAGTCTGGGGTGCATCAGACTCACTCGAGAGGCTCATTAAAATACAGCCTTTCTAATTCAGGTGGCCTGAGAAGGCACCAGACAATGTGGATTTCTAACAAGTCCCCAAGTCCGCTTCAGCCGCTGTCTGGCCACCATGCTTTAGGATGGTGCTTCTCAATCCATAAAGTGCTTTTGAGTTGCATTGTTGAAATACAGATTCTAATTCAGTAGGTCTGAGGCAGGAGCTAAGAAACAAAGTCCAGAGGATGCTTAGTCAGAGAAACACATTCTGAGCTAAGGTTTATTTTAGCAGATGGTCATGCTGGACCAGCCTTTGGTTACGCACAGCTTTGAAGGTGAAGCTTAAAATCAGACTCATTGAGCAAACAGACCTAGCGTGAGTCAGATGCTTTGCATCACAGCTTTCCCATTTCTTTTACTCCTTTTCCTTTCCATCCTCCTTTAATTGCCACCTGGATGTCTCAGTGACCCCTCTTCCGTCCAAAACCGACCTCAGCACTAGCCCTGCCAGAGCAGATCTCCACCTTCCACTTGACCCTCTAATTTCCATCAACCTAAATACTACTGCTCCCCAACCCCCAAGGTGGTTAAACTCAAAGATACTCTCATGTATTTTCCTGTACTTATTCTCTGATTCAACTGGTCATCAGGCCCTGTGAAACTTCCTGTGGAATATTTTTATGGTGATCATCTCATCTGCAGTTTACGTGTGTTCATTTACTGCCTCCATGGTACCAAGTTCTGAGTGGGGTACTATCTTTAATGATACAATCACCCTTCAGAGAGGTAAGGTAGTGAGAGCTGCAATGACATCCCACAGAAATCATAGCCAGGATCCAAACCTAGGTCTATATGAGTTCTATTGCCATGACCTCTCCTCAAGCCACGGTGCCCCCCTCTGGCTATTCCTTCCTCTCCATTTCCCCTCCACTATCCTGTGAGATGTGTCAATCTCATGGAAGCTTCTTCTTCCATTTTCACCAGAATCCAACCTCAGCCTGTTCTGAAATACTGCTGTCCTCATGATGTGGCCACAATGGAAAAAAACAAAGACAAACAATCCTTCAAGAGCTCACTCTTAACTAAGGGATGAACACGCACAGGCATGCACACACACAGCCCTGCAATCTGGCAGCTTAATATGAAAAAAGACCCTTCACATCCAGTTGGAGTGAAAGTATTTTTGGAACTGGGGGAGGGGGAACTATAGGTAGTCCCACAAACAAGCCACATCCCATGTGCAGAAACAATGAACCTGTTTTGCTGGCAACTGTAAAACACAGAAAGAGGACAGACACGGGGGTGCTGGACTGACCTGCTATGGAAAGACTGGATGACACTTTTATGGCTGTTGGGGGTTGCCTTCCTTTTGGATTTTAGGACTGTGGTAGGTGAGCTCTTTATGTCTTGCCAGGACTATTTCTTGCATTCCATTAGGAAAGGCTTGGAAGATTTGGTCAGAGGGGAGATTACAGAAGATAACAGAGTCTGGGGCTCGAAGGCTGCCTAGAGGTCATCTGGTCGGGCATCACTGGGTCACTGATGGGACAGTGCAGCTGGTGAGGGAAAGCAGAATCAGAAGCCATGTGCGCTGACTCCCAGGGCAGGGGCCTCCCTCCCGTCCTGGCCGTGTGTGCTAGTGCTGTGTCCACCACCGGACATCCCGTCTGTGTGGCATTCGTGCAGATCTGCTCCCAGACCGCTGCCACTGGTTCATACTCTAAAGAGCAGGATCACTTCCAAACAACGTGCATTTCTCATTGCTGACTGTATCAGCACTTAATCAATATCAGATGGCACCGCCCGGCCTCCCCTTCCACTTGACACACTTTCTCCGTCTTGTTTTTTCTCCCCCCTGAGACTTATTTTTAATAAGAATTCTGTTTTATCTTTCCCTCTCTGCCCTCCGCTGGGAGGACATCTGGCCAAACATACAGATGCCTACTACAAAGAAGCCCTGCTGGCTCACGGAGCAGGGGGACCCCCTCCTTGAACCTAGATGGTCACAAAAAACATTCAAGAAAGATATCCCTCTGTTACCAGACTTTGCACTGACTGTTTACTTAGCATTACTTTCCAGAGACTGGGGACTTTGTTCCCATTGGAGGGGGCAGGTGGTAGGAACGCAAGGGAATCTCTGCAGACTGAGAGTCTAGTGGAGGAAGTGAGGCAGTTTTGCCCCTTAGCACCAGGTGATCCAGCTTATCAACAAACCAGCCAAAATAGCAAATTTGTAATTCAGCAGGCCACAGGCAGAATGTGCCTGAAGGATCCATGCCTCTCCATTGGTTATCCTTCGTAAACTATCTCCCATGGAAATTCATTCTTGGCTTATGTTCTGAATGTATTTTCCAGTGTCCAAGTCTTTATTATATAAAAAAATGTTTGGAAGCCAGAATCTCTCTGGCTAACTCCTGGAGTATGCCACGGAAGTTCAGAATAGGCTGACAATTTGGTCCCCAGAGCCCAAACTCCAAGTTCCCTGCACTGCCCTGTTTCCAATAACACATGTTTCAAGTCAGAGGAGTGCGTGTCCAGTGGGGCCACTGATCGGTGGTGGTGGTGGGGGGGTGGTGGTTAGCTGGTTGGAGAGAATAACTGAACCACTGCAGGAATGACAGTGCAAAGGGCCAGAAGAATTCACCAGCCGAGAATTCCTTTCTGCTGTGGTTCTGCATAAAAAGCCCTCCCAAGTACTGTGGTCCGTGTTCCAATCCAGTCTGTTTTTCTGATCTTTTGGAGAACAGAGTTTCCTTAACCCTATCATATTTTTCTGCCATCAGTAAAGGAGGGCTTGTCTGTTAAAATGGACACATGATGATCATTCCCCTTCCCTGGTAGGTGAAGGCTGGCACTGTGGGCGAGTAGGGCACTTCTGGGCTGTCTTAATTATCACACGTGTTTAGAGCTCAGTGGGGAGGCCATAAAGATCATGTTACCAAAGAGAAGCTCCAAAAAGCTGGTGGACTGCAAAATCTAGAAAACCACAGGTTTTGATCTGAGACTTAGTGACCTTTTCATGTGTTTTTTTTTATAGTTATTAATCTACTGCCTGGTGGCATATATTCCCATAAACTCATGAGAATGATTTGACTCTAACAGTAAAATGGATAATTCAAATAAATTCCGATAATTAAAATGCCCTCAAAAGCAACAAAAACAGAGTTAATGTCCTGGTTAGTTATTTGGGTGTTATGCAATATCACCAAAACTAAAGTCGAATGCATAAAAGCCATTTATTAAATGATGGGATATGGATTTCGTTAGTAGAAATTTTTTTTTTATTTGTGAGTAATTTAGTTTCCCAAATACAAATTCCAGCCGTGGACACCTTATTATGCCAAATTTCCTAAGTGATGTGGAGAATTATTAAAATGGAAGCAAGAAAAGAATTGGAAATGAAATAATTTTCTGTGAAAAATAAACAAAACCTAATAGCATCTCTGTATTCAAACCAGAAAAATTATTCTGAAGAAAGTTTTAAAAGTTTGAAATCTTTAGCATTTGGTCTGAGCGTATACTGATATTCTGCAGATTTAACAACAGCATAGCCTTTTTTCCATTAAAATATTTTTGTATATTATATATCTAAATGGCAGTTGGTTCTGCTTTGGTTTTAATGTTAAAAAGGAGTATGTATTATTTGCTTTAAAACTTATAATTTATGCCCTGCCTACTAACAAACAATTGT